TCTGACGAGTTTCATTAGCTTTGGGAGAATACTTTATGAAAAATGAAAGTTAAAAAGTTACTTTGACCACCATTGCAGGCGGCACGTGCGGGTAATAGTAGTCACATACTGCAAAATATTAGCAATTGTCACACACATAACCTTCCGCTGAATCCCATCCGGTGCAATCTGCGTGTGCCCATAGCCCACAAGACGTGCATCTGTACCAGATTTCGTTGTTGCGGGCAAATTCGCAATAAATAAGACGAGTAGTAGTACCAATATCAGCAGTATTTTCTAGGTCATCATTCTCATCATCGTTCCAAATGTCAGTCAGATGATGTTACAATTTAGATGACGGGAAGACTTTTTAAAAATGTATTTATTATAATAAACCTAGCTACATCTTTCGTAGTTGGTGGTTGAGTAAGAACTAACTAATAATTTTACAGCGTCCTATTTATATTCAGTACAATCAGGCATATGGTGACGTCGTGGGAGCACAAAGGCATATGGTGACGTCGCGGGAGCACAAAGGGTGTCTGTTGTAAATATTAGTAAAAGAGTAATTAAGATAGTTTACCTCGAAATGGGTTTTAGAACAGATGGCCCTTTTTAAAATATGTAATCATAATATTATTGTTTCCCATAGGAAAACAGATGCCTGTTTGTTAACAAATTGATAAGTGAACTTAGTATGTCAAAAGGTTACTAAATGATAATAACAACAATGGGAATATTGATAGTTAATAGTTATGAAACTATCCTAGCTTCAAATATCAAGGGTTTAACAATGACTGACTCCGTAGTCGATTGTATGTTTTGTAAAACACGCCTCTTAGCCTTGTTTTTTACAGCATTGCTTTGTAATTTGCGTTTCTTTCCTTTATCAGTTTTATTTTTTCCTTTTTTCTTACTTTTGGTTGGTTTCTTATACAGGGTGGCCCGTAATTCCTTTGACATGAAAAAAATTAATTTAAAAAAAACTACTTACATTACAAGTAATATTTTTATTTCCAAATTAAGCTTAATAAATGGGAATTATTTCTTGAAAATTACGTCATCTAAATGTAAACCGTTACGGTCACGGCACTCTTGCAAACGACGTCTAAAATTGTTGATGACTGCGTGGCACGTCGCTACAGAAATGCTTGCCATTTCTCTGCGGATATTTTCTTTTAGAGCATCAATTGACCGCGGGTTCGTGTCGTATACCTTAGACTTAAGGTAGCCCCACAAGAAAAAATCCATCGGTGTGAGATCCGGACTTCGTGGTGGCCAGCAGATATCTCCTCTCTTAGAGATCACTTTTCCAGGGAAAATTTGACGGATTACAGGCATAGCTGTGTTAGAAGTGTGGGAAGTGGCTCCATCCTGTTGAAACCATGTCTGGGTGTTAAAGCATGAAAAATTCTGTAGTTGTGGTGTGAAAAACTCCTCAATCATAGCCACATATCGCTCTGAATTAACAGTAACTGCGCGCCCTCTGCCGTCCTCAAAGAAATAAGGCCCTATGATGCCATGGGCTGACATAGCGGCCCAAACTGTCACTTTGGGACTATGTAAGGGCTTTTGATGTTTTATTTTTGGATTCACAGTGCTCCAATAGCGGCAGTTTTGTTTACTAACATGCCCGTTAATATGGAAGTGAGCCTCATCCGAGAACATTATGTTGTTGAAGGAAGTAAACCGATTCAACATTTCTTTTGCATAATTTTCTCTCTGAATAGCGTCAGTATCTTTTAATTCCTGCACCAGCTGAATTTTGTAAGGGTGCATAAGTAAATCTTTCTTCAAAATCCGTTGTAACGATGTTCTGGGTACATTTAATGCACTGGATCGCTTGCGCGTTGACTGCGTAGGATTTTCACGAATCGACTGTGCCACTTTGTCAATATTCTCTTCCGTACGTGATGTCCTTGAGCGACCGGACCGCGGTTGATCTAGCGTCGAACCACTCTTCTCGAACTTAGTAACCCAGTTCTTAATGGTTTGAGTAGTTGGAGTGTCGTCAAAGTGGTGTAATCCTTTGTGTTTTCGAAATTTACGCCGCGCAACGGTTGCCGAATTATTGTTCTGGTAAAACTCGCGCACACAAAACGAACGGTCCGCTCCAGTAAAGCGCTCCATCGCGACTGAATTTCCAGGAACCGACGTTTCTGCCCCCGCTTCCCCTGTACCGCTCACGCGCGTCGTTTTTTTATTATTCAAGTTTTACTTTTCAAAGGACTTTTGGGCCACAAATTTATATATTGAGTCAATCTTCCCTAAAAAAATATCCATTCTTGGCTTTTGTAATCGTAGACCTATAGATTTCCTATATAATTTGCCATTCTATAGTTTGTCAAACATAATCCTCGTCGCCAGTTAATTTGTCTGAAAATGAAACGTTCGTCTTATCCGTGAACTCATTTATTACTAATGGAGGCCATACATGTTAGGTTTTGCATTTTTAACTTTGCATGCACAACCGATAGGCATAACCGAGTTTCATATTACACATATACGTTAGGGTTTGCATGCACAGTTTTGCCGTTACTCTCAATTGAGCTACGTGACGATGCGTGTAGGACGCCTATTTAAGTACTGTGAACTGTGTATACCTACCAAGCTACAATGGGCGACGACGATGTGATAGATATAGTTCGCTTAGCGCTTGTTCTTCAGAGGAGAAAAAGAAAAAGAGTTCGCACTCAATGGTCTAAACACTGGTTATTGAAAAGAAAGCATTTCTCCCACGTAAATTTGATAAATGAGTTGAAATTTACACCAACAGATTACAAAAATTATTTACGAATGGATGAAAAACTTTATTTGAAACTACTATCGTTGATTACTCCTTTAATACAAAGACAAGATACTGTTATGAGGAAAGCAATATCAGCTCATGAGAGACTAGCAGTAACATTAACATTTCTTGCAACAGGAAGAACATATGAGTGCCTTTAATATTCTGCTACTATATCACCTCAGGCTTTGGGCCGAATAATACCAGAAACATGTGATGCTATTTATGAAGATCTGAAAGCGGATATATAGGTGAGTAAATAATTAAAACCAAATTGGAATTGTTAGATAAGTTTAATAGATAGGTACATAGTTTAATTAACCAATGAAATATTTAAATCAATTCTGAATTAAAATTTGAATAATATGTTGCTGTTGTTAGCTGTGTATCCAATTCTTCTTGTTGTGGTGATGAGGGCTGGTTTAGTAGTGCAGGAGAAGTAGGTTGATGTTGAGTGTTATATTGTTTAATTGGAGATGCGCAGGGCTGACTTAGGGGTGCAAGAGAAATCGCGTAACTTTGTTGATGACCGTTGTATCGGAGATACGCAAGGTTGACTTTGGGGTTTAGGAGAAATCGTGTACCTTTGTTGCTGAGTGTTGTACTGTTGTATCGGAGAGACGAAGGGTTGTGTTTCAGGCACAACAGAAGCGGTGTGAGTAGACGGTTGTGTATTATATTGTTGAATTAGTGAGGGCGAAGGACTTAGAGTTCGTGAAAGACTAGGAGTTCGCGATAAAACGACGATTTATTCGATGTATTCAGATTGCCCATCTCAGCATCGAACAGGGTGTCGTTAATTATCTTCGCCGCAATCAAGCGTTGAAGTTTGTTTAATGATCTTAATTTAATTGCGATAGATCTTCCCAAAAGATCGTACCGATATTCTGTTGCTGAAACACTTAAAATGGTCTTTCACGGATAGTAATTTGTCTGTGGTTAGCTGATCTTGCTCATTTATTTTCTTTCTTCCCGGTCTAGTAGCAGGCAATGGAGTCTTCTTAGGTGTCGTAATATCATCTGTATTCCTTGTACTAGTATTTGCAGCAGCATCACAATCTTAAGTATTTTCACTATTTTCAGTAGAGTGGTCAGCATCCTAATTAAAAAAATTATTTATTTTGGTTTCCAGATTCATCGGCTAAATGGAAAGAAACCGCACAACTTTTTGAAGAGATATGGAATTTTCCTCACTGCTTGGGTACCATCGATGGAAAACACATTGACATAGTTCCACCTGCTGATAGTGGATCTTATTACTACAACTACAGAGGACGGCATAGCATGGTTCTTATGACAATAATTGATGCCAACTACCGATTCCTATTAGCAGATTTTGGTACAAATGGAAGAGTTTCCGACGGAGGTGTAATGCAGAATACAAAGTTTTTTGAAAAGTTACAAATGAAACGTTTAAATCTTCCAAACTCCGAACCGATACAACACAGTTCAAGATGTTTGCCATATGTATTTGTTGCTGATGATGCATTCCCGTTGAGACCTGACATACTGAAACCATATCGTCAAGCGGATCTGAACAGCTACGAGAAAAAAATATTTAATTACAGATTATCTCGCGTAAGAAGAATAGTTGAAAACGCTTTTGACATACTGGCATCAAGATTTCGCATTTACCATACTCAGATCAATTTATAACCAAACAATATAGAAAAAGTGGTGATGGCTACATGTGTTTTTCATAATTTTCTAATGGAGCACATACCTAATTCATATGCACCTCCAAGATGTTTTTATAGAGAAAATGTGGATGATGAAACTGTTGTTAGCACGGGCTATGATACTACACATTCAAACGTAGAAAATTTACAAGGTCAAAATCGAGGAAATGTCCCGAATGATGTAAAAAAAGTCAGACTAGAATACCAAACTTACTTTGTTAATGAAGGCAAAGTACCTTGGCAGGATAGTTTCATTGAAATGTGATATAGGTACCTATTTCTTTTAATTGTATGTAATAATATTGTTTGATGAATAAATGCGAAACCTTACCGCTTAAGAGTTATTTCTGTAACAATCTTTGTACCTAGGTACCAAAATTTTGTAAAGCTATAAACGACCACAAAAAACTTATGTAGGTATAGACGACCACACATCAAGCGTTACAAGTTGCTTTCCAAATTACTATACCTATCTCACTGTAAAACATGAACGTTATGAAAAAATATTTTTTGTGGTCGGCTGTACCTAATATATAAATTACAAGTTAAAAAATTCACTAATTTATACGTACCTTAGAATAATTCTCATCAATATCAGAAATGTTTGATCGCGAGCTGCGAGGAACTTCTTGATCACCAATAAAATCGAATAATTCAAAGTACCACAGTGTTGGTTTATAAATGTCGTCAGTCGATGCTCCAGACTTCACAGATACTTCGTATTTTTTTCTCTCTCGTCTAACGTTACTACGTAACGTATTAATTTTTTTAATCACATCCTCTTTTGTAGCAGTGGGCTCTAATTCCTTGAGCTTACTCATCCATCTATGGTATGCTGCCGATCGTTTGTCTCTGTCGTGATATTCTTTGCACTTTACGCGCCAAAGACAAGGTTCTGACTTATAAATTTCTATGAATTCTTCTAATATGGCATTGCGCTTGCGACTCGCCATTTTCGAAACGACGCGATGGTGCAGGCGCGCGCGACCTTCCGCCGTCGCAACAAATTAAAAACAGAACTCCGACAGGCAAGCTCGCGGACGCCAGCGGCATAAAATATCAATTTTGATATTTGCTCGGTTGCATGTACATGCACCGATAACTGTACAGTTTAACCACATACACGCTAAGGCTTGCTTGTCGGCTATGCATGTACAGGTAAAACTATCATGCTAAACCTAACGTGTAAGGCCTCTCTAATGGCAGGGGCCGCGATGGACATGCTGCCGGCCGCGTTCACTCTTATTATTATATAATATATAGGTATATATGGGTTCATTCACAACAGCAACTTATTGGGATCGCAATTGAGAATCATTTGTGCCCAGAGGTTCTCAATCGGATTAGATCTGAACTTTTCATGACCATTGCAAGATTTGGATATCAGGAGCTCGATCGCGCTAAATATTTTCAACTGAACTATAACTGAACCTTAATCGAAACATGATTTTTTTAACATTCATTTTCTTTAACATTTTTTTAACATTATAATTTTAAACCTCAACAAGAAAGGACTAAGCCTCTGAAATGGGGACGTAAAAGGGCTGATGGTGCTGAATTACAGCGTTATTGGGTCTAGTCATGGGTCTTACGTTCTGTCAATTTTAAGACCTTGCAACAACACATACTGAAAACATAAGAAGTTTATTTAGTTTAGTAATTGTATTTAGTACCAATTTTATATCACACAATATTGAGGACTTATACAACATTTATTGTAACAAAAATCGATCAATGCTTTCTGTTATTAACTTAAAAGATTCAGATAATAGCTTTATACTCGTAGATTCCGAATTATTTAATTCAGCCTGTACCCTTAACTCTTCATGTCTTGGCACCATGACTCTTGACTTCTCTAGAGCAGTTTTATTACCTGAAATCAGTATTTTTAATTATATTTTATATTTTTACGTAATTTAGTATATCTCATTTCTATATAATGGGTCCGCCAAATAACTTTTTTTAAATGCTATAAAAAAACTACTGAATATTTTTTATTTAAAAGTACAATCCTTCCGGTTAATAACGGAATATAATTTCATTCAAATGGCTGCCTCGGCTAACCATGCAGTAGCCTACACGATCGGTCCAATTTTTAAGCACATTATCGATTGTGTGTAGCTGTATTTCACCAATGACTTCACGAATATTGTCCTTTAAAGCGTTAATTGTCTCTGACTTGTCGGCGTAACACGTATCTTTGACGGCACCCCACAAATAATAGTCCAAAGGTGTCAAATCGCAGCTCCGAGGTGGCCAAACGACATCAGCTCTGCGGCTGATAATGCGATCTTCAAAAATAGGGCGCAAAACATCGAGTGTAGCTTCGGCTGTGTGGCACGTAGTGCCGTCCTATTGAAACCAAATGTTGTCAATATCCTCCTCTTCAATTTTTTTGAACAAAAATTCGTTCAACGTTGCACGATAACGATCGCCATTGACTGTAACGGCCACTTCTTGCTCATTTTCGAAAAAAAATGGCCCAATTATGCCTTTGGACTTTTTTTTAATATGTCCAGACAACATTTGGCTTACTGTTGTGCAAAAAATAAAAAATAAATCTTAATTAGTTTACGTTTATATTCAGAGACAGGTCATTGAACTTACTTTGGACCTGAAATGGTCGTGCTTGTTTTGAGGGTGCTGCTGGTGTGGAGGTTAGTGAAGGATAACGATCTACCCTTTCATAATTATTCAGGAACAAATATCAACAAAAATGTCCTAACTAAACTAAACAACTGTATTTTTAATCGAATTTCAAAGTTTGAAAGTACCCATCACTTCAAAAAAATCAGACGAACAAAATTAAAAACAAAAAAAATATTTGACAAACTTTATCCGCGAGGCCACCTATTGGGAGAAACTATACATCCTACAGTGCCTTATTCAAGTACTGGAAGGTATCAAAAGATATCGCTACTAGTTTTAACTTGAAGAAATTAAAAGTGCACATACGTGTATCTACGGTCTTAAGCGGGTAATGTTTAAACACTGCTATTTATTACTTATAATAAAATCAGATACCTTTATAAAAATCGAATATGAAGGCAAAACTGCAAGGTTAGAAGTTAGTATGAGAACTTTTTGAAAATGCTTTAGTATAATGGAACTTGTTTAATACTCACAGAGTGAGCAAATTGATCTTGCCTCACATTAAGTAGAGTACCGACATCTCTCCCTATAATGTTGACAGTAATAGAGTGGTAGGCAGTAATGGAGTAATAGTTAGTGCATTACTTGGGCCACCACCAGTAGCACTATAACTGCTATTAGTTTGCATCAGTTTGACTCTTACTCTGCATTTTTGGTCATTCTATACCTGAAAACGAGAAATTTTATTGATAGTTTTCTCAGTAGGAAATTAAACACATATTAACTAATCACTCTCATTTAAATAAGGAAATTAATTATATCATAATTATATATTATAATTTTAATTACCGTTATATAATATAACTATTAGTGCTGCATATGAAACGTCTGTCTTTTTTAGGAACGTTAAATGCTATGTTAAAGTTTTGTTTGAAATAAGGACTAAAAACTTTAAAAGATAGTGGATTTCTCTTATCAGTCTTACAGTTTTCAACAAAGGTTATATTGGGTCCTATAACTTAATTCGTGCGGTTTTTTTTTCAAAATTTGAACGTTTATTTACGAAAAACATGTATAATAGTATTATTCAAAGTATTGCCCATCTGAAGCTATTACCTTTTCCCATTTTTCTGGCAATTTGTGGATCCCATCTCAAAAGAACTGCGCCAACTTGGCAGCCAAGAATGAATTAAGCCAATTTTTGATATCTTGCTCTGATGTGAAATGTATTCCAGTGAGGGCGTTCTGCATCGACCGAAACAAATGGTAGTCAGAAGGGGCAAGGTCTTTTAAACGTTTTGAAATGACTGCTTGAGTGACACCCAAAGATTCTGCGAGCTCTTCTTTTGTTTAGCAACAAACCTCATCGAGTAATGCTTCTAGTTCTTCATCTTCAAACTTTTTTGGCTGCCCAGGACGTTCATCGTCTTCCAAGCCAAAATTACCACTTTTAAATCGTGCAAACCACTTTTGGCAAGTTCGCTCAGCTAGAGCATGTTCACCATAAACTGCCACCAAAATACGATGCCTTTCGGCAGCAGTTTTCTTCATATTAAGGTAATGAAGAAAAACTCCCCGTAGAAACACTTTTTCAGGAACAAAGTTCGACATATTTGAGTGAAAAAAAAAAATTGTTCTTAACGCATCAAATAAATATTTTTCTTATCTGAAAAGACGAACAATGACATTAGCTTTCCAGCGCAGGTTCGGAATATTGGAACGAGGTAATATTATACAAGTTACGACATCTCTTATCAAACCGTACGAATTAAGTTATAGACCAATATATAAAGGATGATGGGCAAATTTCTATAGAATCTGGGCGTAAATCCAACAGAATTTTAAGTACTTTTAATTGTTAGGACTTAGTACTGAAAATGTATTTTCATATATATAACTATCAAATACCGCCGGGTTTGCTTGAAAATGACCAAAAAGAAATAAAACACAAAAACTGTTATTTTTGTATTTATTACACATATATAGATATAGAAGTTATTCATCAATTATTATATCCAACAGATAACGAGCAGGGCCAACAAATGGTTCATGTCGGCCCATACCTAGGTATCATATCAAAGAAATGACATGAGCACATGTACCAACGGTTCTTCTGCCAGTCAGGCAGGAACAATAATTAAGTGCAATTGCATTTCCGCCCTCCTGGTCTCTATTAATTAGTATATATGTATAATATATACGAGCTCTGACGTGCCTCGATTGAATTCGTGCTCGCAGTAACCACAAGTTCCATTCTAATATGTTGCACTCGGAAAGATCGCTCAGGGCGTCGTCTCTGCAGATTTCTATTTTATATACTCCATTATGTATGTGCTCAGAAACATAAGATTTAGCTACTTTTAGCTGATAAGTACCTAGGGCCAGTAATACAATATCATCTTCGGTTAATGTAGGAAATTCTTCCAGGAACTGCGGATTTGCATCAATTCGAGTAAATGTTCTTCGGTGCTGATTCAGATTTTTCATCGCAACGTATTCATACAGCCGATTTGTAGAATGAACATTGGTGTGGATTCGGTTTAAAATATCGACGGCATGTCTGTTATTTTCAGAAACAGAATGAAAGGCATTCAAAAGACTCGCAGCGATTTTATAATCATCAAACATGTGTACCAGGGCACGATTAACGTATGTCTGGCGTAACAGTTTAAAGCATTGTTTTATTTTGCCGTTCATTGCTTCTACTACCCAACGACATATAGTCACTAGACGTGACTTATTTGCTTGTTCGGTCGTCAATTGCCTTTCATGCCTATCTTTATTTGGAGGAATATGCACTTCATATCCACATTCTTGTAAACTTGATACGCTGTCTCTGAATCCTCTATCCAATATAATTACATCATTTTGGTTAAAGAACCAAAGCCAGGCACTATCCTCATTATTGACAAGTCCTTGCATTATTGTTGCGTCAGACACAGTAGCTGGGTATGGACCTAGGACATCTATTATATAGCCGTCACTACAGACAAACATAAGTGGTTTAAGTAAGTTCTCGAACTTGTGCAAGCTGTAAGTCTTCCTTTGAAAAAGGAAGTTACTGCTTTTTTCTATATAAATATATGTACCATCGCAGATAACTATTGCTTTGGTGTTATTTTCATCTCCAAATATACCTTTTGGTATCAACTGATTCCTTCTAATAACGTCGTCTCTTGTTATATGATCAAAACCAAGATGAAGGCAGACAAACTGTGCCATTAAACATTCCCTTGCTATCGTCAATTTCCGTTCTAGCGTACGCCGAGACATTCCAAATAATGTAGCTAGCCTCTCATTTGTTTTTCCAGTTCTAAGTTTAGCCAGATATATCCCAAGTACAGTTCGAGGACGATTACTACGCTCACTTAAAGATGGCGTTTGATTTAAAATCGTATTGAATTGGTCGTAGCTTATACCAACCCAAAAATGTAAATCACTATCGTCTAGTTGTGTCATGGTGTCAAAGTCAAATCTAGTACCTCGTCGGACAGCTTCTTGAAATATAGTACAAACGTCAGAAAACTGGTCTGCATTAAACTCGTGCGATACATTGCAATGGTTAATTAATTCATTCCATTCATTGCTTTCTAAATGTTCCCGACAAGCTCTTGCTTCTCCGGGAATATATAAATGATGTTCACATAACATATGAATTAATATTGTTCTAGGTATTCTGCATCGGGTCGAGTTGTTACAGTTATTAAAGATGCAGCAGTCTGCCCTATTTGGAGCTCTCATATATTCTTCAACATGTATTGTTCGTTGTCCCGCGGCGGGTTGTACTTGTGCCTGGGGTGCAGGCACATCACGTCTTCTAACAGCGTTAGTCACCTGTTGCCAACATCTATGGCATAACGAATATACGTTGTCAAAGTCCACCTGAAAATAAAAGTAAAAAATATCTAGTATACTAGGTTATAAAAGTACATATTTCAAGCGCCATGTAGATGTCAGTAATATATTCTTCGTATATTTTCTCGTGTTTCGAACATTTCAATAAAATACTTCGTGTAAATAGTATAAAATATAATAGTTTAAAATATTTTATTTATTCGTTTATTCATTATATAATTAGAATAGATTAAGCAAAAGGCTAGAGGAAAGAAATCATACAACTATACAAGGTTAGTAAAAAGGAGGGTATGAAACTGTGGATCATGTATAATTATGGTCAATGGTAACTATTATATTCCATCACCTTTCATAAGTCAAAACGTATTTTTATGTTTTATACAAAAAAAAAAACAATTGGCGTCGTAATGCCAACCCTATTTCTTATTACTCCAATATCTCCCCGAGACTGGAGGCAAGATGATCGAAATTATCTGATGTCGTCTACTCTAGGGCTTTGTAAAGTCGTAGTTTTGTAGGAATGGGAAAAGTTGCAGAAAAAGAGTTGCTTATTATCAAGGGTACTTTCCCCTCCTTTCGGCTTCATACCCCCCTTCCGACAACATTGTATATTACACAAACAAATAAACAGCTATATAAAAACTTACATGAGTCAGTGCACGTTCCATTATATATGTAGCCAATTCCGGTTCACGTTCGGGCAGGTTCTCATCCAACAAATGTCGTCTTTGTCGATAGACTGATCGTGGACACATTAGACAGCGACGGTCTGCCATTTTATGGGTACGTTGAGCAATAACACATTCAACACCAAAAGTTAGATAAAAAATGTTCTAAACACAAACGCAATCCAATCAACGGGCAATAACAGTAGTCCATAAACAATGCTAGGCCAAGAAGTCGAAAAAAAAAGGTGAACCGAAAAAGAGAACGCAGGTAACAACGAGTAAATAACGACTGAATTGGCACAAGCGTTATCGTGCGCCCGCGTCGAACCCTTGCCGTACCCACCTCCCTCCCCCCTGCCTCACGTCTTCTTTTGTTATTTTTCTACCTGCCAGATACCGATATCATATCGGTACATGAGTAAACTAGCAGTGTAAATAAAAATAATGCACTTGTTTATATTATTTTTGTTACCGTAAAATATTGGTGAATACTATTACAACTTTTAACCTTCAATGGCCACCACCTCCGTATTCCGGTGTATTTCATGGTTGTTGCCATAGTATGAAATAAAGTACTAGTATTAAACTTTCATTTATCATACATTTTGATTTTGTTGCCTTTACGCCCATTTTGACCATCATCCTTTGTGATATTCCAAATATCATATTGAAAATATAGGTTATTTGAATCATTACATTAGGTATTTATTATTTATAACACTAGTTTACAGTATATCTGTTGACAAAATGATTTTAGCTGTTGCTAACTTTATATGGTATGCATATTTCAAATATGTGATTATATTTTTTTATCTCAGCTC